CCCAAATGAAGTAGTTTTTGACAAGAGTCTCCCGAGACAGCAAACTCAGGGTTGAAAGGTGAAAGGATGCTAGGAGACATTAGTATGAGAAACAGTTGTCACTCTATGATACAGAATCCTCACCTGCCATCTGTGTTATAATGCAGTTCCATCACTGCTCCACTATGTCCCTTCAATGTGGCATAATTATCACAGTCGCCATAGACATTCCACAACACTGTTAGGGAGACAGATGTTCTGTGAGCATCACCAGGCAAAAGAAAACTCATTACTGGCCATGGAAAGGGTACATATAATATTTACCAGAACAACAGTTCTCAAATTATATTCCCTGGAACACTACTGGTTATACCAAGTAGACAAATTTTCCTGACCCTAAAATACAAATGGCAATATTTTTACAATTCATAAAGTAAAAAAGAATGAATATAATTTTTGAAAATCTTAATTTTTTCCCTGTAATTTAAAAAATGTTGGCACCCACTACTATTTATCTCCTCTGAGTCTACAAGAAGACTGCAAAATGATGGCACTTATGGAAAACTTAGGAAGCCGTAACTTGAAGGTCACATGGTAATGACTTTATACTACATACCACATGTAGTAAGTACTTACTACATGCCAGGTGCCAAAGTAAATGAGTAGACACAGTTTCTATCCTCAGGGTGTCTGGTCTAGTAAGGAGTGAAGTTTGATAAATGTTATTAAGGATCACTACATACAGAAGAGGTACATATATACAATAAGTACTTTCCTGCTGATAAAAATGTTTCCAGTTTGTTTGATGAAATTAAGCATATCAATAATTCACTGATGTTCTGCAAAGATCCCTATTTCTTCCAGATACCTGGCCACTAGTAAATTGAAGGATCGTAAAACTAACTAGAACATCCAAATCAAAATAGACAGTGAAGACAAATATTATCCACCCTGAGACATAGACTTAACAGAAAAGAGCCAAAGGATTCATTTCATCTCCTAATCTGGTGAGTGAAGCCAGAAGAAAAGTCAGATGCTTCTGTTATCATCTCTCTTGCTTTCTCTCATGAATCCCCCAAAGTGACTTTTCCTAGTTATTTCTCAAAAATAGGTATTATTGACTAGTAGTGAGAATCTGGTAGCAGATCCTAATGATGTACATGTAGATTACCTAAATAACCACTTTAGGATCCCCACCTTCCTTCTCATTTGCTACAATTCTGGGTGTGGATCAAGAGGCGGGCCTCACACCTTTGGGGAAAGAAAAGTTATCTCTTTCCTCATTACTCTGATTAACTTGTTAAACCTAGATAGGTTGTCTTGCTAATTTAGCTCAAGATGTGCTTCCAAGAGGAAGATATTCTCAAACTAGTAAAGTAATAATCCCTTTCCAACTACTAAAATAATTCCTTCCTACTCTATTTACCACCAGAATCCCAAGTTCTACAACCAAGATCATTCAGCTTTTTCATGCCCTGATATTAGCATGTTAGCCATGTAGTTTGTTATGTTGCCAACTCAGACCGATACCTTCTTCTGTGACACCCAAGGTTTTAAAAAAATAATTACTATTTGGCAGAGAGCAATTATCCCAGATTCAAAAACTATGCCTTACATATCAGTCGGTCAAATCCTGCAGAGGCTAAGGTGGATCCATTGGGGTGAAACTTGCAGCAGTACACTTCCCCTTCATGTCCTGAGAGCAGCATGATTGGCGCTTGAAGGGAGGAACACCTTGGAGGTCCCTAAACAAAAGAGAAGCACAAAGTAGCCACTGCATACAGCTGTAAAATTGGGGGATGCAGAGTGAAGGGAAAAGACTAGGGACAATCGAGTGGATTTCATCTGATTTAGAGAATGGCAGCTCTTCTGGGCCGGCCCGTGGCTCACTCGGTAGAGTGGGGTGCTAATAACACCAAGGCCCCGGTTCGGATCCCACATAGGGATGGCCGGTTCGCTCACTGGCTGAGTGTGGTGCTGACAACACCAAGTCAAGGGTTAAGATCCCCTTACCGGTCATCTTTTAAAAAAAAAAAAAAAAAAAAAAAAAAGAATGGCAGCTCTTCTCACATAACTCATGCCTCCCATTTGATACCCCCCTGAACTTTCCAGTATCAACCTATTACATTAACTCTCCTCTCTCACTCTGCTCTTGTTCTACTGCCAACTTTTGATTGCTCAAACATGTTAAAACTCATTTTTGCCTAGGATCTTAACATTTGCAGTTGCCCCTGATGGGAATCCTTTCCCCCTAGATGTGGCTCCTTTCTTTCTTTTTTTTTTTTTCCTTTTTTTTGTCTTTTTTCGTGTCCGGCAACGGATCGCAACCCTCAGTGTCGCGCCCGTACCGGACTGGGACCGGCAACGGGATCGCAACCCTCGGCGCTGAGCCCACACCTTGCTCAGCCAGTGAGCGGGAACCGGTCTGTATGTGGGATCCGAACCCTCGGCGGAAGCGCCGCCGTGCCCCCAAGCGGCGCACTGTAGCAGTGCGAGATGTGGCTCCTTTCAAATATTTCCTCTTCAGAAAGTCTTTCCTTGATCACTCAAACTCCAGTAGCATCCCACCTCCCCACGTGTATTCCATTAACTCCACTGTATTCCTTCACAGCACTTATCTGAAATTAGCTTCTTCATGTACTGTATTTGTTTACATGTTTTGTCTTTACCCCCAGCGAAATGAAGCTGTGTGCAAGGAACCTGTTTGTGTCATTCCACATTTTCCCAATCTCTGGCTCATTTAATGAATGACTGAACCAACCTTCCCAGCAACCCTGAAGGGTACAGATTATTAGGCAAGGTAGTTTTTTTTTTTTTTTTTTTTTTTAAAAAAAAAAAAAAACTACCTTGCCTTTGGGGCCGGCCTGGGGCTCACTCGGTAGAGGGCGGTGCTGATAACACCCAGGCCATGGGTTCGGATCCCATATAGGGATGGCCGGTTCGCTCACTGGGTGAGCGTGGTGCTGACAACACCAAGTCAAGGGTTAAGAGCCTCTTTTTTTTTTTAAAAAAAAAAAGAGGCTCTTAACCCTTGACTTGGTGTTGTCAGCACCACGCTCACCCAGTGAGCGAACCGGCCATCCCTATATGGGATCCGAACCCATGGCCTTGGTGTTATCAGCACCGCACTCTACCGAGTGAGCCACAGGCCGGCCCCATAGGCAAGGTAGTTTTGATTATGGTCATGGACACCAATCCTAGGCTTGGCAAGTCACCTAAACCTGGGCTGATATTCTTACTTGTCAAATAGGAAGAACAATGTACACTACTCATAATCCCAAAATTTCTTCAATAGTTTCCAGTTTATTTGTTTATTCAAAAATATTAGATATCAGGTATTGTTCTAGGTACTGGGGAAACAGCATTGAGCAAAATAAACAACGGAGTTTGCATTCTTGTGGGAAAGAAGAAGAGAGGTAGGAAGGGAGAGAGGAAACAGTAAAACGTATGATGGTGGTATGTGCTATGGAGAAAAACAAAGTAGAAATGTAGGTTCCAGAATACTACAACTTAAAATAGGGTGGTCAGGAAAGCCGTGACTGAAAAAGTGATATTTGAGCAGATTTGAAGGAGCTGAGTGTGTAAACCATGTAGACATTTGGAAGAGCATTCCTGCAGAGGGAGCAGCAAATGCAAAGGCTCTGAGGCAGGAGTACAAAAGCCACTGTGACTGGAGCAGGATGAGCAATAGAAAATTGGTAGAACAGAGAGATAAAGTGAAAGAGGGCAAATGATTACAAGGATTCTGGTTTTTTACTCTGAATGAAATGGGCAGCAAAACAGGAAGGCCAGTTAGGACCCTACTGCAATAACACCAGATGAGATAATAACAGCTTAGACCAGGATGTAGTGACAGGGGGTAGAAGTGGTAGCAATTCTGGAAATATTTTGAGGATGGTCTGAACAGGATTTGCTGAGGGGCTGGTTGAGGAGGTGAGAGAGAGGATACATCTATTTCCTCATCTGAGCCTAATGGCACAGTGGGAGAGGTATGACCACTACCTCTATCTTACAAGAAATGTAGTTAAGAGCATGAATTCTGAGTTCAAAATCGGTTTCTATCACTTACTAGATAAGAGTTTGTTTCCCATCTGCAAAAGGGGATACCAACAGTTCCTAAGTCTTAGGCTGTCACCAGTATTAAGGGAGATTTCATATATAAAGCATTCAGAACAAGGGTCAATGGACGTCAGTCAGGTATTATTCGGTTGTTGTCAACAATACTAAGGGAAAAACAATTTGCCCAAAGTCCAACAGCAAGTTAGTATCATTCACTAGCTCTCTTCCCGCCCTCTCATTCATCCACTCTACCAACTTTCCTGAATATTTACTCTATGCTAGATCTGGAAGCTTTAGGACGCTTAAGCCGCGGGCCGGGTTTTGAGCCTAAGGTTCCTAACTCGAATTCTAATGCTACTTCACAGGGCGGTCGACAGGCTGAAAACGCGCGTCAAACTGGGAAGGACGTGTGGAGCATCCACAGAATACCGGGCGTTTTTACAATATTTATCTGCTTTAACTCCAGGTAGAGATTCTCCTTCAGCCCCAACAGTCCGAGGAAGGGCCCAGGCACGATCACCGGTACAGCGCTCTGGGAAGAGGAAGATGAGCCAAAGGCCGAAGGTCGCCTGCTACTTCACCTACCGCTTGAAGCAAAGCTCCCGGCGTCGTCTGCTGCTGCCCTGCTCCGGGACCCGACCCCGCCGCTCCCAACAGCAAGTCATGCCGCTGCCGCTTGACTGGGACCAGTGGCAACTCTGGGCCCTTGCGCTTTTGCTGTTCTATCATGGCGGCAACCACTCTCCTCAGCGCCGACACCGACCGCGCCGCTACCCTCAGGCATCGCGCGATTGGTTCCAACTTAGTGCTTCCTGCAGAACTTCCTGCTTGCAATAACCAATCGGCTTTCAATATTGCCCTTCACCGCCCTCTGGATAGTCTCTTGTTATTGGGCATATCTTTCTGACGTCACGAAAACGGGATTCCAGGATTGGTGGACCGAGCTGGTGTCCCTCCTACGAGCGCTGTGTCTTGTGGGTGGAAAGGCGCTGACTGGGTTTGGCGTTTCGGGCAATGTCGGGGCTGGGGGACTAAGAGCTGACGCCGAGTAAGTATGAGGAAGACCGGGGGTGGATGGCTGCCCGAATGTGGAGGCGATGCCTCGGTTGTGAGGTCTGAGCCTGCCCTTCTCAGCTGGTCCTAATAGCAAGGGGCGGGAGGCGGGCCTGGAGTTCCCATCTCTGGTGAGTAGTATCCTGGGTTCCCTTTCCGGGCAGGAGTAGAGCTTTGGGCTCTCTGGCGGCAGGACCCAGACCCTGCGGCTGCCTGAGGCCCTTGACGGCTGCCTTCTTAAGCGCCTATTGTGTGTCCACACTTGTGCTGGGCGTTCCCAGGGAGAAAAGGCCCGTCTTCCCGCCTCCATCAGTGCCCCCTTTGGCTGAGGAGGCCGACTTGTTTTTGCCACTTATTCTGCAGTCTTTTATGAGCACCTGCTCTATGCCCCTGAGAGAGAGATTGAGGAAAGAAAAAAATGTCCGACTCCTTCACTAGAGCACAGTCTTGCTGAAAAATTTGAGATTCATGCCTGTAAACTAGGACTTATCAATTGTTCAGCTGATATTTATTGTGCAAAGCTTTGGGGATACATTGTGAGCCAGACATGGTCCCTGATGCCAGGGGGGTTGAGTCTGGTGGGGAAAACAGATGTTAAACAATGATCTTACTGATAAATGGAAGAGATACCTGATGCTGGGTGCCTGAAATAAGCAGGAAGGCTTTTCTGAGGAAAAGATGCTTGAGCTGATATCTCAAGTAAGAATTAGGTGAAGAGGAGAAGGCAGAAGGCAGAATATTTCTTCCCTTTTTTTTTTTTTTTTTTTGTTCCTGGCCGGTATGGGGATCCAAACCCTTGACCTTGATGTTATAACACAGGCAGAATATTTAATATAGAGCAACATGTGCAGAGGGCCCGTGGCAGTTGGGAGGAAAATGACTGAAAGGCACAAAGCCTTCGTGGCTGGTACAAAAAGAATGAAGGGGAGTATAGTGCAAGATGAAGCTGCAGGCAGTAGAGGTCACATCTTGGAGAAATTTGTAGCTTTTCCTTTAAAACTGATGGGAAACCACCGAGAGTCCCTTCCCTGCTTGTCCAGAGTGGGGTATGGTGGAGGAGGCGGCTTGATCTCTCAGGCTCACTGATATGAACAGATTGGGGTTGGGGGAGCCCAGTGGATGCAGATAAACCACTTAGGAGGATATGCAGTAATCCTAGTGAGAGCTGCTGTCAACAAGGATTGAGATACTGGTGGAACTGCAGAGAACTGGACGGACTCTAGAGATAGTAGGAGGTAAAATGGGTGGGACTTGATGATGGATTGGATTCAGGGAGTGAAGAGAGGAATCAAAGGTAACTCCTGGGTTTGTGGTTTATGCTGCTGAGTAGGTGGAGGTACCATTCACTGAGATAGGGAACACTAGAAGATGACTAGAGATCCGTTTTTTGTTTTGTGGGGTTTTTAAAATTTATTTTTTATTTTTTTGGTGTTTGTTTGCGGGGATTATTCATGACATCCAGGAAGCAGTTTAAAATACAGTTTTGGTGCTCAGGACAGAGATTTCTGTTGGAAATATACATTTGGTAATACTTTGCATGTATGTGGTAATTGAGCCATAGGTGGGGGTAAGGTCACCTAAATCAGAACCTTGAGTAGTTTCATCATTTAATGGCAAAGAACAGGTGGATGAACCTGCAAGAGAAACAGAAGAGCTAGGGAGGAGGACCAGACAAATGTTGTCTCAGAAGTGATGGAATAGTCTGTGGTACAAACTCTTGGAATTTAAGTAACCTAAGGATTGAAAAATATCACCATGGAACTCATGGTACCCTTAGCAAGAGTTATTTTGTTGGTGTAATAGGGCCAGAGAGCAGATATGAGGCAAAGATTCAGGCAAGGAAATGGAGTCAGTGAATCTAACAGTATTTTTCATAGATAGGATTTATAAAGAGGAGGAGAGGATGTCTAGCTGATGGGCATAAAGGATTATCTAGAGAACAATGGAGAAATTGAATAAACAAAAGAGAAATTGGGTTATTGGTAGTGTAAGATTTCTGGGAACATGGGAGTGGATGGGATTCAAAGTGCAGGTAGAAGGGGCTGTCCAGTTAGCTCAGTTGGTTTGAGCGTGGTGCTAATAACACCAAGGTCAAGGGCTTGTATCTCCTTACCAGCCAGTCACCAAAAAAAAAAAAAACCTTAGGAAGATGGACAGTTTCTCCATTTAACAGAAAGGAAAAAGGAAATGAAGGAGGTGTGTGTGTTTTGTCTGTATGTCTGGTATTGGTAAAATGAGTTCCGGTCTCGTGGCTTTTGTTTTCTCTGTGAAGCAGGAAATGGTATAATATACTTATGGTGAGAGATGGTCAGAGATTTGAGAGTATTGCAGAAGATTTGAAAGACATCTTAGAATGTGGGAGAATGAGTTTACTAGAGAAATGTAACATTGTCAGGCAGAGTTAAAGGCCCATCTGAAGTTGGAGATCAAACTTTTTTTCTAGCACAAGTCTATTTAGTGCACGCACAGAGAAAACCTATCCAGGTATGGCAAGGACTGTGGATTTGGCTTGCTTAGCATGCATTCCAACTTCTTTTTTTTTTTTTTTTTTTTTTTTTTTTTCCTTTTT